GATCTCTCTCCCCTCATATTCGGTGTCATCGCACCACCTCCAAATGTCCCTCACGTCGAGCCTATTCAGATCGACGAATGTTTCGTTCTCTCTCGACTCAGTACTTTAGGAACTGTCATCGTGTGCATGTTATTATCAATTTTATTATCAACTGTTATTGTGATTTGTTCTGCTTGATTAGTGAGCAAGTGACTCTGTTTGCCTCGTATATCTGTTGATTTAAATATTACAAGTCAAACTTTATTACAAGAACAAATTTTTACATTTCTTTTCTGAGTAATTTACAAGGCCGCAAACTTAGTACATTGCAATTTTTGTTTAAAACCATCTAAAGCTCCACTATTTTCTTGAGACTCCTGCCTAGATCGATCGTTGATTTGGTGAAGCATTGCTGTCGTTGTTCTTCTTACCTGCATGCACATTGTTTTACATCACTAAAACCTATCATGACCAGTCATCTTGATTTTCAATTTGCACACCCCAACTATAGATCTAAAACTTTACCACCTATTTCTCTATCCATCTATCCTGTAGCACATATGCACACAGAAGAGGACTAGAAACCATCGAAATTTGGTTCATTTAGCGTTGCAGACTTTGTAGACCAAGAACAGAATGGGTTTGCACTTTGAAAAAGGTTTTGTTATACTTGAACAGCTCACCACCCTCCCAATAGGAGCCAAATCAATCTATTTATCCATTTTATCTATTTTCCTATCTATTCGGTGGTAACATTGCGGTAGAGACTTAGGCAAGAATGCTCAAAATCACTCAAATCTTGTTTCCTTTGCACTCAAAAAGTTGTAAATCAAGACGAACAAGTGGATTTGCAATAAAATAGACCTCTATTGGAGTTGGAAAGGATTTCAAATCCTTGCTGCATTAATCAAGTGACCAAGCCAACATCGTATACAAGGCTCAGCATTACAACTTCCTTTTTCCACTGCTGAAGAACAGAGACTTTTACTTTTGTAACATAGAAGATACTCACTGATGTTTGAGACTGTGGCACAGACTTTAGAATGAAGAAAAGCTATGTTGTGTACCTCGGAATGGCAAATTAGAACGCCTCCAGAATCAAGTATCTCATGGAACACATAATTTGATAGGGCGTGTTGCCATATCTTACAAACAACAATAGCATAACAATATGTTGGCATACAATTTTATTAGAAGCCTTGAAGACTTGATTTCTTCATATGCCCACACTTTTGCTTGTTGGCTTCTTCAGGTTGGTGATGTTATTGAAGTAGCTTTGCTTCATCCATACTGGGTTCGATGGTCGGAAGAAAATTTAAATTACTCCGATTAACGCTTTTTAATCTAAAATAACAAGCTATCGAAAAAAAGGTAATGGTTACAATTTAGATAGTGAAGTCAGCAATGATCTATATTACCTTGTGCCAGGTGATATTAGAATGTTTGCTGAATACCTACAATTTTATAAGAAGCCTTGAAGACTTTTATTTTTCCCCTTCATATGCCCACACTTTTGTTTGTTGGCTGCTACAGGTTAGTGATGTTATTGAAGTAGCTTTGCTTCAAACCTTTCAACCATATTGGATTTGATGATGGGAAACTTTTTTAAATTTTAATATAAAATAACAAGCTATCTAAAACAATGGTAATGGTTACAGTTTAGATAGTGAAGTCAGCAATGATCCATATTACCTTGTGCCAGGTCATTTTAGAATGTTTGCTGAATAACTACAATTTTATTAGAAGCATTGACGACTTTTATATTTTCCCCTTCATATTCCCACACTTTTGTTTGTTGGCTTCTTCAGGTTGGCGATGTTATTGAAGTAGCTTTGCTTTCAAGCCTTCAACCATATTGGATTTGATGGTCGGTAAAATTTTTAAATTTTAATCTAAGAGTGTGTTTGGTAACCAAAGTGTTTTTTTTTTAGTGTATTTTTAAAAAAACACCATACCATGGTGTTTATTTTTCAAACGTGTTTTCAAAACACCATTTTTAGTTATTATTTATATACTGGTGGACGGCGGCGACCGGATGACGACGGCGGCGAGCTGGTAGAGCGGCGCGGCGCGCAGTGGGCTGGCAGGCGGTTACGGTGGCGAGTGCGACTGCGGCGTCTGCGGCGCGGCGACGGCGGACGGTGGACGGCCGCGGGCAGCGGCGTCGGCGGCGCGCAGACAGGCCCGACGAGGCCACGACGGGCTGAGCCGGGCGAACGGCGGCGGGCGGCGACGGACGGCCGACGGCAGCGGCGGCGGTGGCGGCGGACAGGCCGACGGGCAGTGGCCGCGGACCGGCGACGGCAGCCGGCGGGCCAACAGGCGAACGGCGGGTGGGCGGTACGGCGGACGACCGACCAAGCAGTGACGGGCGGCGGAGCGACGAGCCGCTACTGGCGCGACGACCGACAGGCAGCGACGACGGCGGGCACGAGCTGGCGCAGGCCTGGCATGACAGCGCGCGTGGACGAGGACGGGCGTCGAGCGGTCAACGAGCAGCGGCGGGCGGCGACAGGCCGACGGCTGACGGGCAGCGGGATTAATGAAAAAACGGGTAGCGACAGGCACTGCGGGCGCGACGACGGCGGCGGGAGGGCGGGGGGGCGGGTAAGAGGCGCGGCGGCGGCGGGGGTTAGAGGCGGCGGGGGAGAAGGCGGTGGACGCCGGACGGGCAACGGCGGCGACGGGCGGCGGACGCGGCGACGGCAGCCGCGGGCAGCGACAGCGACGGGCCAGGTAGCGGCGTGGGGGCAGCGGCAGGGCGTAGGCGCGGCAGCGGCGGGTGGTGGCGGCGGGCGCGCGGACGGCCGACGAGAGCGGGCGGCGAGCGGGCGAGCGGGCCGACGGCAACGACGGGCGGCGACTTAGATGAAAAAACGGAATCTCAAAACACATTTTTGGTGTTTTAAGAAAAGCGTTTATTTTTTGGATTTTGTAAAGGGTCAAGTCAAAAAATCGCCCCGGTTGCCAAACACGTTTCATTATTTTTTTAAAAGAAAAAACGAAAATGACAAAAACGCCATGGTTGCCAAACGCTCCCTAAAATAACAAGCTATCAAATAATGGTAATTGTTACAATTCAGATAATGAAGTCAGCAATGATTAATATTACCTTGTGCCAGGACATATTAGAATGTTTGCTCAATACCAGCCACTAACTTAACGTAACCAGAATGTGCCATCATAATATCAGTGATAAATACTTTAGGTAATGGACATGAAATAGCATTACGAGGGTTATATCCACATTCTCATATATATAGATGGTGGATCAGAAAAAATAAAAGGAGAGAAAAATAGAGCATCAAGCATGCTCTATTTGCCATCTCAAAAGCTAACCATCTTTCATGCCAGGGTTAACAAAGGTAAGCTATCTCACAAATAACTACATAAAATAGGCTACCTCCCTGAAAATTTTGCCCTAATTATTTATGTTATCCTTTTAGGAGCAAGATTGGGATGAGTTTTTACTGTAACAGAACTGCCATCAACAAAAACCTTTATAGTTGCTTGCTTTCATTGGTCTTTTTAAACTTAGAAGACATGGAATAAAAAACATATGCATTATAGGTTTGTACTTTTAATTTTCATACATTTCTTTTTTTTCATCTCAAATTATTGAGACCTGCCTACTTAGCGTGCTCATAGATTCAAGTGTCAATTCCAACGAAGATTTAGCACAAATCTAAATTCACATTTTCTTAGACTATCTGTTTTCAAGAATGAATACTTGTAAATCTTATTTACAAGACATGCAGAAAGCACACATATGATCTCATTCAAGTATAATGCCATAGAATATCCCAATCAATTGCCAAATTCATCATATAAGTCAACACATTAGAAAATCTAATATGGTATGCAGTTCCAGTACATTTCAAACACGCGTTTTCAGCAACTATGCATGTAAAAGATAGTTGTCACATACTATGCAAATAATTCAATTGTAACTATACATGTAAAAGATAGTTGTCACATACTATGCAAATAATTCAATTGTATACCAATATATAATTCAAATGACTGTGTATGATTTAGAAACTATAGGACTTTGTATGAGTCTTTGGTGAAACAGATACCATTAACGAATAAGAAGGTAGACATAATTGCTACAGTTTATAAGATTTAACATCACCACGTTCCTTATACCCTCATATAATAAACTGTAGACAATAAACTAATGAATGGAGCCCATCTAGTCTAGAATCCATATACTGTAAAAGAAAATACTTCGGTTGTTTACTTACATAGTACCAATAGACATGAACTGACGAGTTAGGACAAAGAGCTTGAACAATACAACCACAACAGTTCTTTTATCAGGAAAAAAAATCATACGCAAAACATTGTAGAACTTCATAATCACAACCATTTTCCACACAGATAAGAGTCATAAGACCAATCTGACAAGCCTCGCTTCTTGACACTCCATAAACTTTTCTCCAGTGATACACCTAAAATTTAAGTTATAACTAAATTTCTTAACTAACCCAAAAACAGAACATGGTAATGCACAAGAAGGACCAAGGTGGCCTTCAACGGAAAACACGTTTTATTAAAACCCCTAAAACATTATTTTCTCTAATAGCAAGCATGGGAGCTCAGACTCCCTGCCCAATGGAGAATCAATAACATACCCTACACCATTTTTCAATCATGCTGAGCTCCGAGCCTCAGACTCCTGGTCCAATGAAGCATCATCAACATAAACTCCATAACTTGCTAGCCCGGCTTCAATATGATTAACAACAATAACATAAGCGTGCTCAAGTCTATCACATGGCGAAATAACACTTATATATAACTCTGGAACCTATTCAACCAAGAACTGAGACTACCTTCTTAAGAATACTGACAGGGATACCTTCATGCTCGTAAGAAAGAACACGAAACACTATACTTGCAGAATTTGTAGAAAACACTTAAACAAGAAGATTCAGGACAGTAGCATTAACCTTTAACAAAGACTAAAAATATATATAATTACGCTACCATAATGTCAATAATAGAGAAGGTCGTACCTTGATCTTAAGGAATGTCTCGAAGAATGCACATATAATTGAATGCCAGATAAATAAGGCACGTAATACTGAATGACTGCAGCCTCGCCATTCAAAACCAAAGGCACTCCAGCTCCATAAGCACTCCACTCCCTAAACGACTCCCAAAGATCTTCAAGATCAAAGTACGGACACGATTCCACATTATCCGATCTACTCCATCTCCTCACGCTCATCTAGTTCAACAGAAAACAAGAAATTTACTAAAATCACTGATTCAAAAAAAATCAACTTCCCCCCTTGTCTACGTTAATTGCTGCACTTTAATACCCTAAAGTCACCTTCATTTTTTTAATTCACACCCTAAAAATTAAACTTTCTTAAATAATCGCCCCAAAGTTTCACCCTTTTTTAACTTCATAATACATTCCATTACATAGCCGTTAAATGGGACCTAAAAAATCCTTTCTTGTTAATTCTTCCTTTCACCTTATGGTTAAATTTCAATTTTTGTTGTTAATACTGTTAAGCAGGGTTATTTCTACTACAATTCAATGTCAAATTTCAATGTCTTCACTTGTAATGAAGAAGAGAGGATTCAGAGGTGTCACATGATAACCATGTCCATGGTGATGTAATGGTGATGTAATGGAAGGTATTAAAGTAAAAAAGAATAAAACTTTTTGAGGTACTATTTCAGCAAATTTAAACTTCAGGTTAAACTAAAGGGTGCTGAACTGCAATGCTCTAAACTGCTCACCTTTCTATGATACCGCGAGGGGACCACCGGCGTAATGGACTCAATAAACCGGTCCAAGTTTCCGGCGGGGTTCGGCAGCGGGACCGAAGACGAATTCGAATTCGAATTGGAAGACGAAGTCACCGCCGACTTCGACGAAGAATCATCAGACTCCGCACGTGCCTCGTCGATCGCCGGAGAGTTCGCCGCCCGCCGCCGCGAGGCTTCGTTTCTGATGCCTTCTTAGGGCTTTGCTGTTGCTGCTCTTTGCTGCCGCTGTTGCTGTTGCTGTTGCTGCTGCCTTCGAACTGCCGGAGGAGTGTAGAACCGGTCGATGCCGTGGGCGCGAGCGGAGGAGGAAGCGCCGACGACCATCGGGACTCGGGATCTGGGGTTGGAGATCGGAGGGGTTCGGATCTGGACTGAAACCCTAGGGTTTTGGGATCTGATAAAAATTGGTGAAAGGAGAAAGAGAGGCGCCGTAGTTTTTTCGACTCCCGTTATTACTAATTTTCTCCTCTTATTTATTTGAGTTGACAAAAAGTAATAAAGCTTAAAAATAGGGTGGTTCTTTAAATTGGCTAATACAAGTGAATTAAATACAGCCTAGTAATTTATGCAATCATCAAATCATTTTAATAAGTAGACAATATGCTAACAAAATTAAAAATAATATAATAAAATATAAAAAAAATTGAGAGTTTAAGAAAGACCTCGAACTTTGTTGAGTTTTGTACAAAATCCCACCTAAATTTTATAAATTAGAGAGATACCTGAGCTTTCATAATTTCATATTCAATCTCTATTAAGCCCCTATGGTTTCATCTGCGAATCTATTAAGCCCCCGTGGTTTTTTTCGACTCTATTAAGCCCCCGTGGTTTCATCTGCGAATCTATTAAGCCCCCGTGGTTTTTTTCGACTCTATTAAGCTCCTGTGGTTTCATCTGCGAATCTATTAAGCCCCGTTTGAAATCCAAAGCAAGGGGCTTAATAGATTCGCAGATGAAACCACAAGGGGCTTAATAGAGTCAAAAAAAGAATGAGGGCTTAATAGATTCGCAGATGAAACCACAAGGGCTTAATAGAGCCGAAAAAACCACGGGGGCTTAATAGATTCGCAGATAAAACCACGGGGGCTTAATAGAGTCGGAAAAAACCACGGGGGCTTAATAGATTCGCAGATGAAACCATAGGGGCTTAATAGAGTTTGAGTTCTGAAAACTTCCTTGAATTATTTTTCTTTTTTCTTTTTTCTTTTTTCTTTTTTCTTTTTTTAAATCCCACGGCGTTCGGCGCATACGAAAGAGTCGAACCAGCCCCCCCCCCCCCCCCGCACCAGTGAGCGCTATTGGGCCTCCAACTTCCTTGAATGTACGCTGGGGCCGCTATAATAAACGGCATCTAGTCATAAATAAAAGACCTTAGACTGTCGATAAGGAAAGTGGAGGAGGAGGAGGAGCGAGGGGATTTAGTAGAGACGTTAAATTAAACTAACGAAAAAGAGTCTTATCTCGTCGCAAAATACGGATCACATCAGAACACCCGCGCAGGATGTTTCGAATCATATAAGGTGTATAGCGGATCTCCACAGTGTTGTTTCTTCACTCTTCCCGTTTCTGTATGTACGGTTCAGAACACCCCGCATCACCTGTAAACTATCTCTGCTACTTACGTACACTTAACTTTGGAACTAAAATTGAGAAGACTCGTCATCAACCAAAACCGTTACGTAAAGTTCCGTAGAAAAAGCTATAGCTTCGATCTGGAGTTTAATCCCATCAACGGGCAAAGCTAGCAAATTAATTGATCTGAAATAAGAAACGGTTAAGGACATTGTTCTGGAGGCTGATTAAAAGAATAAATAAATACGAATTGCAATGCAATAACCATGCCAGGGCATGTTCTATCCCTTTAATACACGCATATGATCCTAGGGAGCTCGTCATGTTACTCTGCTACAAGTCATGGTTACTAAAGACTAATCCAGTCCTACTACAGTTGGCATAATTAGGTCAGGTTTTTTTTTTTTCCAAAACAAACAAAGAATATTAATTGCTAACAAAATTTCCTGTTCCGATGGAAGGCTGAGCATAAGCGCTAGGTGTATAATTGCTTTCATAATTTCCCTCGAACATGATAGTAGAGCTTAATTGAGTGTCTAATGAGATGATCAGCTGCATTTAGTCCTATTATTTTTCATTTCTAGACTACAGATCATCTACGAAGAATTTACAGGTCGCACATCCGAATTAGCTTTGGCATATCTAACCTGCAGGAAGAGCAAAAGGACGGTTTTAGTTAACTCACATATCAACTTACTATGTGTAGTGAAACAATGAACATAACTTAGGATATGCATTTACGATACTAAATATAGTGTATTAGTTTTCTCTCCATCACCATACAAGCCTAAACCATCATAAACCCCTGAAAATGGTTCATGACTTGCTTAAAAAAGCATGACATTTGTTTATAAAAAAAATTATTCTAAACAGGGAATTTTACAACATAAGAAGATACATTGTACATGTCCTCACATAATTTATATGGGCAAACCACCATCCCTCTTGTAATCCTAGAAAACATGGGATCAAGCAGCTCTAACCGATGATACAGCAAGTTTTTTTTTGTCGTTTTTGTTTCAATCATCTTTCTGATGTAAAACACGAGGTAGACTGTTACCATTTAGTGCAGCATGGGTCGTTTTTGTTTCAATCATCTTTCTGATGTAAAACACGAGGTAGACTGTTACCATTTAGTGCAGCATGGTAGACTCGCTTCTCAGGTAGCCTTCTGATGTAAAACACGAGGTAGACTGTTACCATTTAGTGCAGCATGGTAGACTCGCTTCTCAGGTAGCCCGATGTCTGAAAGTATTAGGTTACCCTGCAGCAAGGGGATCATTGAATTAGCATAATTGTACAAATACATGCAATAAAATTTATTTAATAGCCTATAGACAAGTTTTAACTTCTACTAGATAAGTAAAACTTGAATCAAATGTTTGGGTTCAACTGATCAACTTGCACAGGTGTGGTTCATCCCTTCTTAAGGAAAAAAAATAAAAGAAAAAGCCATTAGGCCAGTATTCTGGCGTAATTTCATCTATAAAGAAAATGTGAATATGATAACCTATTCATCTATTGTTTTTGAGAACCATATGTACAAGTTTTACACACTAACGGATGTGACCAAAAAAGGAAAAAAAACAGAAATACCACAGAATTTAGTTACTAATTGCTTACCTGATTAATTTGCATTTTAATGAATAGTAAATAGTTTTTAGCTAACTGGCATTATGGTCATTAATTTGTCTGCCTGATTACTTTTGTACCCTTTAAATTATGCACGCTTGTTCTTCATTATATGTTCCACTTGTCATAGAAAACAACATAACAATGTGTGATAGAAGACATATAAAATGTACCTCATCAGCCATGAATTTTCTAACATTGCATGCGTAGAGTTTGGGATCTTCTTTTTCTTGTTCGGAAGGATAATACACAGGCAAGCGGGTCACTTCAATATAATTAACAAATTGACAAAGAAGCAAAAAGACATGGCGAACCTGCCAGACAAAGTTTGAAAATGTTAAAATTATAGGTGACCTTATAATTGATCCGAAACAACTTATGAGAATGAAAAGAGAAAATAATAAGTGATCAAAAGCGCAATGCAACAAAGACAACTATTTTATCGTATAGTACACCCACACAACCAAAAAGGGCTTTAGAAGCAACAAGGCAATCAATTCCCATGAGTTAGAAGTTAGAATCTTTAACCATAAATCAATTGCTAAAACTAGGTATCTATATAAGCCATGATCACTAGACACAGACACGAATCACGTGCTGAAATAACACTGGGTGTCCAACACAGCAATTTACGTATATCTGCATCATTTCATCTGAGTATATGTATACTTGACAAATATAAATATGTATGTTTGACACTATTTATACATGAAAGAACCTAACTATAGCAAATTGGTATATAATAATTAGCTTTTGTGAAAAGGGGCACAAACATATTCCTTATATAAAAATGTTGAGGTAAATTGCAGTAACAAATTTTAAGGGTCAAACAAGGCCACACACAAGAAGTCATGCCAGACACACTGTTGTATATATGATAGTATATAAGGAAGCACTAGCAGGATGAAAGGAAAATATTCTGCCACCTATTTGTTACTCATTGCATGGCATTGTTCACTTGAACTGATTCATGTAAAGGCAGGAGTGAGGAGAATGTCAGCTTGGGCATGTGCTTATGTTCTGTTCAAGTTGGGTGTAACGGCGGTC